CTCTTCCTAGCCCCTGACTTTGACCGCTGGTTAGATGAATCGGATGCTGAAATGGAACTGAAGGAGAAGGTCAGTCCTGCGGGCACGTGTGGTTTGTGCTGCCAGCTACACAGCAAGGGTAGCTGTTGCCCTGCGCATCAACTTGTGTTCTTCATTTACCTGGAGTTGTCTGGCGTGCTGATAGTTACTGCTATTTCATACAGATCCCGCATAGAATTGGTTAAACAGCTCAAATTGTAAGCAGGAGTTTGGAAACAGGCACACTCCTGGCTAGAAAGAGCAGCAGCGTGAATCTGAACTGGTGGCTGTGCGCTGGCCAGGGTCTGCAGCTGAAGGCTTGCACCCCTTGCCCAACGCCTCCGCAGCCCTGTGTCCTGATGCATATGAAGATCATATCAATGTGCCATATGGAGACCAAAGACACCGGTCCTGGGCATTGCTTGTCTGGAAAGCAGGGATTTCTGAGGCTCTTTCCTGAGCCGCTGGGCTAGCCCTGACGGTGCGTTCCCACCATCTGGGAAGCTCGAGCAGCTTACTGCAGCAGGGAGGTGTGAGACCCTCTTGGAGAAGACTTGAACAGACCACATTTCTGCAAATCTGTTTTACGACAAACGCTGCCCTGTTCTCCTCCACAGCCACTGAGCTTAGCACGGAGGAGAAAGGGCCGCTGCAGTGCCAGGAGCCAGCAAGCAGTGGTGAAGGGCAGGCAGGGAGCCTGGGCTGGATGTTCTCACTGGTGGGTCATGAAATATTTTAAGGAACGGCTCTACAGCTCTAAGAAACAGTAATAAACTGAGCATTAACACAGAAAACAGCAGGCTTTTTCAGCAAAAGCATCTAATTACTAGAATGAAGTACATACTGAAGGCAGGATAACTAGTTAACACCCTCTAGCTTTTACTGTACCATAATTTCTGGATGATGAATGTGCTGTTTTACGCAGGTGAAAATTTAAACCCTCTAGCAACTGGCTGCTTAGCTGAGTTTTAAAACCACTAGCTTTGCAGTAGTATAGTTAACAAATCACTTGCTAATTACAGTAACAGCCTTTAAAACCTTATCCTTCATCTTAAGGAAGAAGAAAAGATTAACAAAATGAAAATAGAATCCAGAGCGCCAAAAGACCGTAAGTAACTGTACCCTTTTAGTGTGTAAGGTGGGGGTTAGAAAGCTTCTGTCACTCTTACATGCGAACCTCAACTCTTACGGAGCAATTTTGACTGGCTTGGTACGTCTTGGAGGGGGATCTTTGTATTGTGAGCTATTTAGAAATTTAATAAAAATGGACTGCAGTCTCCAAGGCATTTAAAAAGTCTGACCTGCAAGAACTGAGTTCTAGCAGATGATGGTAAAAGCAGGCAGAACCCACAGTGCACACAGCAACCCTTTTATTACCATCAATACCTTCCCTTTTTCTTGTAAGCTTTATTCTCATAGAAAGCCTGGTTTGCAGCTGTACTCTTTGCAGAAGTGTTACCATTGTACTCTGCTCACCTCGTGTATTCATTATTGATTTTAGCTTTCAAACACCTGAAGAAGGGATACTTAATCATGTATAATCTTGTACAGTTTTTGGGATTCTCTTGGATTTTTGTGAACATGACAGTACGACTGTTCATCTTAGGAAAAGGCAAGTAATAAGCACTATTCTGTTTACATTGGGGGGTTTGGTTTGGTTTTTTAATACTTTCTAAATAGTGAAATCTAAAGGAAGGCATGTTTAGGAAACAAAACTAAACACATCACCGAAGCGCACAACAAAAACCTCTCAAAAGCCATCACAGTGTCAAGGATAGAAAAATAAATACTGTCTTCTTGTAAATCACAACTGCATCTTCTGATAAATGGCACTTGTACTCTGCCAAGATTACTTCTGAAAAAAAAAAAACAGTTGGAGCAAAATGTCTTGCTCACTGCAATGTTAGTATTTTTGAAAATGAGCCGGGCAGAATATTTTGTTTTTGAAGCAAGAACCGTTCCTTCTATTGAGGTACAGCGCTATCGCTTTTTTTTGTCAAGTAATTACTGAAATAGCTCTTGTTCCTTCTGTGTGTGAAACGGAGCACTTGAGCAGCGTTTCTGGCCTAACTGCTGTGACTTCAAGATAAGGCCTGTAAAGAAGTTACATAATTATGCGTAATGGTTTTTTTCAAATACAACTTGAATCCCGTTATCACGAGCTACGCTGCTGCGCCAGCTTCCTCAACATGGAAATTCCTTTGTTCTCTAAAATGGTTTCCTGTGTCTTACAGATTCCTTCTATGATACATTTCACACTATTGCTGACATGATGTATTTCTGTCAGACCCTGGCATTAATGGAGATCATGAATTCCCTAATAGGACTGGTCAGATCACCGCTGATACCTGCTGTAGTGCAGGTAATATTTTAAGATTCTTCTCCTTGCTCTTCCCATGTTTAAAGTAAATCTCTATTATACACAAGCATTGAGACTCTCCTGAAATAAGTGACACGCCTCACTGGCACTGGACTAGAGAATATATTACTCAAGAGGCAGGAATCCGTGCTTCCCAGTCTAAGCTGTGGCAGGCTACCTTCTTCCATCACCTACGTAAGATACTTTGGGACAACAAAAGCAAGAAGCGGCTGATGAAAAGTACGTGATTTTGATTTGGTGCCACTGCCCTTTTTATCCTGGTTGTGGTGGTTGTGCATAAAAACGAGGACAGATGATTTAAGACTAGGGCCCGTGGATTGCACCTAAATACAGAGCAAAATGCATGCTCG